AGCTCATTATATCTTCTGAGGCCGTTTAGCCTAAGAAAAAAGCATATATATATATATGTATTATATACATATATTTGTCGACAAACTGGTGATTACCTTGAAGAAAGCATGAAAGCATACTTTCGTATTACTGCTTACCACCTGAAAGAAGAAAGATAACACATTGTAAAAGATCCAGGACAGGAACAATACCTAATGGATCATATTCACAAAACACACGAAGATCATAGCCATATCTTCATTGTCTTCATTGTTCAGATAGTCGAAAACTAGGGTGATAATGGTGTGAAATATTGCAAATCTGTCTATTCATCTATTAAGTGTTATCTAAGTCAACTGATAAATATAGTAAACATTAGAACATCACAGCATTTATTATTTCTGCTTTAGATTATTGTATCTTCTACTGTCATATCTGCAGCAATTTTCTCCATCTTTGGAGGCTACGTGAACAACAGATTTGGTCGTAAAATCACCATCTTGCTATCCAGCGTATTGTTCACCATTGGGGCAGTCGTCATGGCCGCTTCTGACAGTAAGGAGATACTCCTCGTTGGACGAATAGTCGTTGGAGCCGGCGTAGGTAAATCAAAGTATCAAAATATTCTAACGCTCTATGACCTGAAATCGTTTAATGAAATGAACGTTCTTCTCAAGGCTTGAAAAGAAACCTTTTCAACAAACTAATGAGTCAAAATGAGTACTTTTACGCTGCTTCACCTAATGGATATGAGGCATTCAAAATACATGCCGCTGGTTGCTCTGTATTCGAATGCACACTGTTTTTTCTGGAGTTTAATTTCTCACGGTGCAACAGTAAGCGATCAACAGATGCTGATCCATTTTGTTCCCCAATCCCTGAATCTTGGTGCCCTGAATAAAAAATCCAAACTTTCTCGTGAAATGAACATTAAATGGGCAGGAGAAACGGAAGATAAGGGGTCGATAGTTTTTAGCACTTCACAGGTGCCGGATTGGAACCCAAAGCGATGAGTAAATTGTTTTTTATTAACTGCTGCTTCCCTTAAACAAGGAATTCGTCCTACTTTACTTCGGCGCAACTAACCTATTCAGGGAAAGCAAGTCGCTGGTCTGAAAATGATCGAAACAGCACCACATTCTGGTACTATAATGCTGCAGAATGTGAAATGTATGACTTTGCTGTCTTATGGACGTATATCAAGAAAGCGATTTGGATTAACTCAACTGATGGTAGAATAAAATTCATCACAAGATGTAGACCGTAATTTTATTGAGCTGCTTAAGTAGAAATTCTATTGAATCATACTGTCATCTAATGAATAGCTTTTGTGACAATTTGCAAGGCATCCAGTTGCCATGTTACGAAAGAAACTGAATCTTTAAATTTGTAGAAAATCAACGTAATACAAAATGGCAAAACAGAATGCGAATATAATTATCTGAACGGCAGTGGTGGCAGATCAACATTTCAGCGTCCTACCGTAATTTCGATGCTTAGGTTGCAAAACCATAATATGTCTTGCATTAGCCATATCTTCTTTCCATAGCATTCATCTCAACCGATTGCAGTATTTGAGAAAGAGAACTCATTTCAATTCTATCTTAATCAACAAACAGTTTGCTCTGAGGATGGCCATACAGATTGGCTGAAGCATCGGCAGTTATGATAAACAGTACAATCCAAAAAGCATGAACTGGCGCTTACGATAATAGATTGAGAAATAGCTTGCAGACAGAGTGGAAAAAGTTAATAAGCGAATGACTCTTTGGAAATGGTGTTCCTTAGGATATATTAAAAATGTAAGATTAACCTCATTGAGAAACGGTTCAGCCACATAGGATTCGCTAAGGACTTGATGCTGTCTGCGGCCACGTGCGAAGCAGTGCAGAAGATCGGTGAAAAACGAACATACATACAGTGATCACATGCTCTGTGGAAAGACCAGGTAATATTGATTGGTGAAAGGTCCAAGGAAGTCGATCAACAAATTTACCTGGGATATGATATCAACATGCTGCATGACCAAACAAAAGACATTTAACGGGTAAACGAGCTGGCTACATTCCAATCCATCAACGATGTTCCCCTTAGCAACGTCTTGAAAGAAACCGGCACCCACCTGTTTAATTCCACCGTCCGTCCGGCACGGATGCGTTACTATTAGAAGTGGTCACTCGCTAAAGCTGAAAAGCGCTAGCAGCCTGTCACCGACAGAACCAGGGGAAAAGAGAGAGACCCTGTCACCACCGCATCCGAGCAGACAACGGAAGGAATAGAAGGATGATGTGGTCGAATGCAGAATGGATAAGATATGCCGGGTCAGACAGCTCGGCTCAGACGGGAGATAGTCGGTGGTGATCGTCGACTGCACCCTCTCGGGAGCATTAGGCAGCCTGGCCGATCTCCATGACAATGTGAAGATCATATCTGGAGGAGTTGAAACCTCGCTTGAAAGGAGGAGATTCGAAACAGCGAAGAATGACGGTAGTGCTGCTACCGGAGCGATTCGACTCCGATTACCGACTGGTGCGAGTGGTTCAAGTGAAGCCTTCAGAATCCACAGCAGCATTCCTTCTTCGGCATAAATTAATAACGCACAAGGGAAATATCGCACATTTATTATTGATGCATTATTATGCTTAATGAGTTTTCTTTATACCATAAGTTAGCTTCCAGAGGCGACCATTCTCAGTGTATGTTCCTACACTAGACAGTCGTCTACTGCTGAACAGCTCTTAAATGAATGAAAAGGCGGTTTTACAGCTTTAAAATTGAACATCAGTGATGCTGACCTTTACTGTAGAAAACGTTCCATGTCCTAAGGTACCCTTTTGCCTAGGTCATAATTTTTGATCCGTGCATTAGGAGGGTAAAAGGCTTATAAGAGAAGAGAAGAAGAAGAAATCTTATAAGAATTACAAGAATTCTTATAAGAAGCGCAGATAATTTCAGTTTTAGCGGCTGCCCAGTTGTCTCGAAAATAGGCAGTTTGATGCAAGCTATATGATCACTTTGCCCAATGGTTTTATATTTCGGTTGATAGTTTTCGGAATTAGCAGCAACAAAATTCATACACAGATGCCATATTCAGAAAATCATCGGTCCAAATGACACCATTGCATTAATATTCGGCCTCAACGAGGAATTGCTTAGAAAAATAGAAGCTTTTGACCAAAATTAAGGTAGGAGGTCGAAACGTAGATAGCACCTTCAAAACTTAATAAGTCAGTATTTGCCTCTTGCTAATTCGTTTATCTCTGAAGGCACCTCATCATGCGCCATTCCGGCTTACATAGCCGAAATCACCCCGTGCGCCATCAGAGGCAGAATGCTAGTCACCTTCCAGCTGATGATCACGTTTGGATTTTGGGTTGCTGGTTTATTAAATGCTGCGTTCAGTTATATTAAAGATGACAACGTTAATTGGCGGTAAGCGATGGCGATATGGCCTGAATTTCGCGTCCTGCATTCATTCGTGTTTCAGGTTGATGCTCGGCGTTGCTGGCATCCCAGCCGTTATTCAGCTCGTTGGATTCATTCAACTACCTGAGAGTCCGCGGTGGCTTGCGCTCAACGGTCAAAAGGACAAAGCTGAGAAGATCTTGACAAAAATATACGGAAATGATGATGAGGCAAAAATCGCTGCCGTAATGGACGTGAAACGAATGATTGAGGAAAACGAATTGACTCAGCTTGAAGTGCGAGCCAAAGGTTTGACTGAGCATCAGAGTTTTTGTGTGAGTCATGAAATGTTCGCAAACTTCGCAAACACCGTAATCAAAATATTTTTTCAACATAACGATTTGCTACAGTAATCATGAACATAAGTAGGTTGTGACCCCTCCAAGACCAGACTTCATGGCTTTTGCACTGCCTGAACAAATGGCCATTTAAATTTGTCATAAATTCATGGTATGGCAGCGAATGCAGTGCCACCTGCATCTCGCATCACTCTGATTGCTAGAACCGTTATATTTTCATCACAAACGAAGGTATTGGTAAGCAGGTTAGACCCTTCCACTTAGCGTCATGTTTGAGGATTGGATTCAGATCAGTAATACCCTTTAATTAAATGTAATGTTTTTGTTAATTTGCAAACCAACTATCATTAGGAGCCCCATTGCATAACACATAGATTCAGATTCCTAAAGACTGACAGCAAGTAATTATAATGTGATTTATTTTCATATTTATCAATATGGTTCATGCTAGTCTAAATTCCGTAATAACTGCATGATTATTGATCATAATTGCTGCCTTCACTTCAAAGGAACGAGAAGATTACTGAATAATTGCAATATGCTCTCATGGAGAATAAAAGTAGAGAGTAATCCTCTTTTCACACGCAAATATTTAATAATTAAAATTGTTTTCAGTATGAAGGTTGTTTAACGGATGAAATAGGTATCCCGGTCTTTGCCTCAAGTTCAAAACCCAAATAACTCGAAATCTAATCCCTCATTAGATAAAAAATAGCGATTGAGGTACCTTCGAAGTTGACACAATTTTGTGAACGAACAGTTCGAGGGATGATACATTTTCATTTATTGCACGCTGAAGGCATAACCTGAATTCCACATCATAACACAAATAAACAGACTTCGTCCTTTTCCAAAGAGTATCAAGTGCAATCAGGCAATTCTTGCTTGTCCTTCAGTCAGATA